TCATCTGTGTACCTCCCACACTATCTAGTACAGTGCTTAGCACATAGTAGCAGTTAATAAAAATATGTTGAATTGAACAAAATTAAATAAATGGCACAGCAGGAAACTTTAGCTTGACATTCAAGAGCGTGGCAAGCATTAAAAGCTTAATAATTAGAGGCAATACAAAAGGATTATTTAAGTTAATGTCAATTCAATTTCCTGTGGTGTGTTAAGCTCAGGACAAAATGTGGACACAATCTAGCCTCTGTCTTGCATTTAGGGCTGGTCTTACCAGTGGCTGAGTAGGATCTCACCTATAGGAAATGAACTGAATGAGCCTGGAAAGTCACTTCCAGCTAAAAAATCTTCCCTACCTTTCTTCCCAGACTGAATATTGCCTGAAGTTCCTACATTAGAATATCATTCTTTTGAGGAAGCAAGAGTGGCATGTTTAATGCCTATGCCCAGTAATTCAAAAGGGTAGCTCAGGCACTCACGAAGTGAGTGAAGCATATTGATGTGTGTGTCTGAATTCAGTTAAACCCTGTATTTTCAGTTATCTCAGTGTTCTAGACCTATTATTTTATATTACTTTAATGTAATTATTTTAATTTATATTACTTTATCACTGGACCCTGATTTGACCTAAACCTTACTAGTACTCTCCTTTCCTACACAGTATGCTAACTAACGGAAAAGTCTCCATGTATCTCTCTGTGCATCTCTCCCCTTACCTTCCTCCCCATAAGACACTGGTTTATCACTGGCTACTCTAACCTATAGCTATTGATGAGTTTGACATGCTGTCCTGATGACATCTTTGACAGTCACTACTGGCACCACTGACAAGAACCATTGGCACCATTGACAGGAACCACTAGTAGAACTGCCAGACACCAGCAGTAGCACAGGCAGACACCACTGGTACAACTAACAGGTATCACTGGTATTATCAACAGACAATTTCCTAGCTGCCAAAGTGAAATTTCCGAAACATGAATCTCACTCTGTCACTCTTCTGCTCAAGAAACTGTTATGGCTCTCTCTTGTTACTAGGATAAAACAAAAACTCATCTATTTGATTTTCAGCAAACCACAACCTTCACAGTTCACCTCTACCCTACTTTTTCAGGATCATTGTGGATTACTCTCCTTCATATACCTTGTATCAAAGAAACAAGGTCCTACCAATAGTTACCCATACATGACTTTCCATCTCTGGCTTCTGTGACTTTGCCTGCCTATCTTCCAGGCCCTCAGCTCCATAACTCCTGCTACACTATCACATTTGGAATATAGGATAAATACAACACATTTTACAACTGAGGAAACTGGAGTTCAAGGAGTAGAGATGACTTCCTCAAAGTCACACAGCTAGTAAACATTAGAGACTGAACTTGAACTGAAATGGCCTGATCCTGCTGTACAAGCCTATTTTAAACAATGACAGGATCACTGGGGTAATGAGACAATACTCACTTAGATGTATGAGTTCCAGGATGACAATAGGTGGAGGACTTATGATTTCATCAGTATAGGAAATTTTTCATTGGCTAAGCCCTAACTCATAATCTTAAGGGTTTCCTGAAGGTCAAATTAAGAAACTTGTCCACAGTCACATTCTGTGAAATGTCAGAGGTAGAATATGAACCCAGATCCTCCTGACTCCAAGTCTATACCCTCTAGCTACTACTTCACAGTGGCTTACACGTTTATTTTGTTGTTATCGTTTCTATCAGTTGCATTAGTCATGGCTTATATAGAGGATTTTTTCTAGTGTCTGAATCACCTCATTCATTTTAATAACAGTTATTGTACCCTGTCAAAGGCTCCAGGGAACTTCCAAATGGTTAAGCAGTAGTTAGTTTCCTGATTGTTGGAGAAGAGGAGGAAAGGACACTCAAGTCTAACTTGCTAATAGTGGAGGTAGTTTCCCCAGGAAGGACACTGGGGCTGGGCTGGTTCAGTCCAGCTCTATTACTTGGCTTAGTCACCAAAGAGCTGAGAAACATGAGAGAAGGCAATACACAGATAATACCACGTGTGCTTCCCCAGGGCTGAGATTCACATGGTTCCTTGAACAATAAAGGAAGAATTCTTACCTGTAAATGTCTTTGCTTCAAGTAATGTGTCCATGAATACATAATAAGATGGTAGGAAGTGAATATGTTTTTTTTTTTCCAAAAAGGTGGTGTCATCTCTGAATAGTGTCAATCAGCAACAATCTGATATTGCACTCTCCACTACCCTCCCTACATTCAATTCCCCCAGAAAGTTCTGCCTCCACACAAAGAGGGGAAATTTGACATATCCAACAAACTTGTGCTTTGTTAGAGATAATTGCCATTGCAGCAAATTTAATTGGCATTATTTAACACTTTGCTCTACTATGATTTGGAGCAATTTAACAAGAATGTGTCAGGGAAAAGTAAGTCAACCTAAACTAGCTAAACTACAATTTATGTCACTGTCAAACTAGAGGTATTGATGAAAGATAAAGATGAAAGCCTTAAAAGGTCAAGTCTATGAAACCTTCTGGAGACCTGAGGGAACTTTGCCCTCATTCAGACTTGTAATACCAGAAACCAATATGGTTTTATTAATGGAAATGAAATTGAAGAAGATTCATAAACATCTGCTTTGCAGCTAAAATCTCCTATTTATGTGGTCTCTTCAAGTAGAATATGAGAAGCTTGAGAGAAGTGAGTGTTTTGCTTTTCTATTTGTATCCTGGAACTTAGCACAGTCCTATGCATATAGGAAGTACTTAATAAATGCTTTTTTCATTCATTCATTCATAATACACTCCACAAACTGAAGTATAGCCATACTGGCCTGCTTGCTAATCTTCATAGTCAACCCTCCATCTCTCATCACCCCACTTTTGTAGTGGTTGTCCCACATGCCTGGAATGCTCTCCCTCTCAGGGGAAACATGGCATAACAGACAGAGCTCTGAATCAGACATCAAGAAATTTGGAATCAATTTGAATCCTGTCTAAGATACTTACTAGCTAAGTGATGCTGAGTAATCTCACTGAGCTTCCACATCCTCATCTGTAAAATGGGGGATTGGACTCAATAATTGCTAAGACTCCTCTCAGCACTAAATTTATGATCTTTATCAACGATTTTCTTTCCCAGAACCCCCCTGCTTCCCACTTACTAGTGCCTTTTCCTCTAAGGTTACTTTGTATCCACTGTGTATTACACACACACACACACATACCCCTTTATCCTACATATACTTTTATATGTGTGT